TCTTCAACGGATCTGCACATGTAAATTTTCGAATCCGTGTTTCCAATAGTACCTACCTGAAGTACGTTTCAATGGAAGCAAGCTCCAGAGATAGAAGCCGGAGAAGAAAATTACTTCATTCTCATTTGTTTGGTCGCAAAACTGAAACTCGCAACGGAAATCGAAGCATTATAGGTTCTATAGCCTGCTCTTTCTGTGCCAAGTTGTGACTGTGCCAAGTTTGCGCTGATTGAACTTCTTTATGAAAAGTTGTGATTTTCGAAGCAAATGCCAAAAAATTATATTTATCCTATTCTACGGCTTCAAAAATCATAACTTCTCAAGAGACGTTCACACAGCGCAATCTTTGTGCACTCAAAATATTAGGTAATAATAGCTATGATACCAATTGCTCCGATTTTCTGCAAGCAGATTTTTGCTACCAAACATGGGGATTGAAATGGAGTAATTTTCTTCACCAACTTCGATCTCTGGAGCTATCAAAAAGTGCCTCAGGTACCATTAGAAAGAGCATGTCTTCTTTCAAAATAAATATGTGCAGATCGGATGTGAAGGAAGAAAGTTTCGAATTTTTGAAAAGGATGGGGACAAGCTTTTGATTCATTAGTATTATTTTCTAAGTATTGATTCATGAAAATGCAACAATAATTTATAAGAACTTTTACTTAAACATCTGCCTTAGAGTCTGACACATACTGTTTTGTGTGGAAAATGCTGGAATATCAAATTAAAACAAAAGTTCTGTCGCTCCAAATTTGAAAATTCTAAAAAAAAATTCTAGTCGAAGTAAAGCCTTGATTTTCGCAGAAAACTCTTGTTATTTTCAAATCATCTGTCAGAGCTTCTCTTGTTGAGATTTCGAAATTTTACAAAATTCCGAATGAATCGTCCAAATTTGCTCTGCATTTCTTGGCGAAGAAGTTGCAAAATGGAACACTTGCAGCAAGGCACGATTTATATCAAGAAACTTCAATTAATTCTCATTACAGAAAGGAAGGGAGGCCGAAGCCGGCCTCAGTCGCGCGGACAAGGTCAAAATGACACCCGATAAGTGGAGACGATTTATTTCCCCACAGGACCATCCTCCCTTTGAAGCGCATATTATCCTTTGTGAATGAGATTGTTATTCTTGTTATTATCTTCTTCTTCCATTAAGCTCTACTCTTCCATCAGTATAACATTGCTTTTAAATTCTTAATATCTGCCGATTTTTTCCAACCTTTTTCAGTTATGGATACATACTTGAATGCTTCTGTGATTTTATGTACATTTATTTATGAACATTTCATTGATCCGTCAATTTGCAATTATCATCTTCAGCCTATTGTATTCTGTACCTGCATAAAACAAACACTGTGCCATTTGCTTTCTCATTGAAAAAAAAACTATCTCGTTGTCTACGTCTCTTAGCATCTAGAAAGTATAGAGGAATTTCCACATCAAAGGAATGCCTTAATAAAAATCGAAAACCTAGTATTGGAAAGGAAAACCTAGTATCAAAAAGGAAGCTTGATATGAAGAAACGGATCGCGAATCAAAAGCGAAAACAAAGTGCTGCGGAATTCCAAACAAAGTGCTGCGGAAACCCTGTACCCTGGATTGCAGCGTTTCCGCAGTGCTTTCGCAGGATTTCCGCCGGGTCACCTGCGGAAATCCGTGAAAGCGCTGCGGAAGTTCCGGCCAGCTGTCTGAGGAATAATCATGGATACGTTTCAGTCACCCATTCATCAAACTTGAGGTGATTAAAACAAATCATCACCAAGCCAGGCCAGTAGTATAGAGGTAATCGGAAAGTGTCTCTTGAAGTGAATGTGAAACGTACAGTAAAACATATAATGTGGCGTTGATACCTTCGTTGACTCCAGTAGTAGAAGACAAGAGCGATGATTTACAACTGATAAGAGTAAGTTTGGCTGACCATAAGAACGCATAGCCAGAAGTTGTTTGCTACAGCTGAGCCAGCCCGTCATAGGCTAGGTGTCCAGTAGATTTCAATAGTCTTTCTCTTGGATAATGCGAGCCACGATGAGTCGCGTTTGCTAAACAGGCGGTGAAAAGTGACTTGGTTCCGCACGAATACCCTGACAGCGGACGCGCTGTATTGTAGCAAACAGTGTGCAACACTGCAAGTGTTCTGTGTCAACAATGCCGAACGTTGACTATAGGTTATCTCGATCAACGATCTCAGATAATCGCTGGGGGCAGGCGGTTCGCAAACTCGCGCTTTTCCGCAAGCGATCAGCAAAATTTTGGGGCGGGACCAAGCCTTGAGCGATACTTCCATGTTCTGCCAGCAGGTAGCAATATAAAGTTTTCTGCAAGCGCTCGTCAAATAATCTCTTTCAGCAAGCGCTGGCCAAACTTAATGCAGGCGACTCTTTTTACGCAATTTCGGGCGTACGCCGAGCGTAACACTGTACGTGACAGAGGTGTTATCGATGGTTTAATTACCCGAGTTTGGGGTACTTTCTCTCAGCGGAAAGTATTATATCTACGGGCTGCGCGGTCCTTCACAAAGGACCGTGCGACCCTCAACAATTGTGAATATTCGGAAAGTCCGCGAGAATGCGCCGCAACTAATCTATAAGGAAACCGCGATTGTTCTCCAGCATTCGTCTAAAATTTGTCTAAAATTCTTCCCAACTTCTGCAAGCGGACCGCAAGAAAGCAGCGAACTATTTTTTCGGTGCCCGCTTGCTCATAAATCGCATGGCCGCCTGCCCCCGGCGATTATCTGACAAGGGAAGGACCCTCAGTCAAAGTGGGGTTTGCATACGTGATGCATATCATTCTGCTGGTCTTAGGGAACTACTACCAGATCCGTGTTCCTTAGCTGCTCAATAATCTTCTGAGAAAAGTTATGAACGACGATTCCACACGATGACCACTGCACATTATAAGTTCGGAGCGCCAAGGAATGTACAGAAGTGAACGGATGCGCGGGTGGATAGCTGCGGAGACTATGGAGCAGTGGTGAAGAGTTCGCGTCCTTATGGAGTCAAACCTTGCATTTTTGCAAATTACATTTTGTGAATTCGCAGGCGATCCGACGAGGGTCTGCTTGCTTGAAAATAGTCTGCGAATTCACAAAATATAACTCAGATAATCGCCGGGGGCAGGCGGTCCGCAAACTCGCGCTTTTCTGCAGGCGGTCAGCAGAATTTTGGGGCGTGGCCAAACCTTCAGCGGGCGGTACTTTGTCTTCTGCCAGCGGGCAGCAATACAAAATTTCCTGCAAGCGCTCCGCAAATAATTTCTTTCGGTGAGCGCTGGCCAAATTTTCAGCAAGCGCTCGGACTCTTTTTAGGCATTTTCGGGCGTACGTCGAGCGCAGGTAAGACTCTGTGTGGCAGAGGTGTCACCGTTGGTTTAGTTACTCAAGTTTGAGGTACTTTCTCTCAGCGGAAAGTACCTGAGGGTTGAGCGGTCCTCCACAAAGGACCGTGCGGCCCTCGAAATTTTTGCATATTCTCGCGGAAAGTCCGCGAGGATGCGGCGACAGCTCCGCAGCTAATCCATAAAGAAACCGCGATTGTTCTTCAAGCTTTCGTCTTTAATTTCGCCAACTTTCTTCCAAATTTCTGCAAGCGGGCCGCAAAAAATCAACGAACTATTTTTCCAGTGCCCGCCTACCCATAAATCGCATCGCCGCTTGCCCCCGGCGATTATCTGAGAATATGCAAAAATACAAGGTTGGCTCTATAGGGACGCGAACTCTTCACCACTGCGCCATAGTCCACCGTCCACATCTGTACATTCCTTGGCGCCTCAGACTTGTAAAGTGCAGTGGTCATCGTGGAGAAGTCGCTCATAACTTTTCTCAGAAGATCATCGAGCAGCTAAGGAACACGGATCTGGTATTGGTGCTCCAAGACCAATAGAATGATATGCATCACGTGCGGAAACCCCCCTTCGACTGAGGTTTTTTTCCTTGTGAAATCGTGAAGGTACCGTAATGAGGTCGATCACGCTCTTAGTGCGGGCAGAAGTGTCTTATTTAGCTGAAAATTGGAGTAGTGTCGGGCGTAAAAATTCAATCTTCAAAACAAAAACATATAAACATAATATCAAAACTTATTCAAACCTAAAGCGTCTTTAGATTGCTAAGAAGTTAATGAATCTTTTGTTAACATTGCACCAACTCACGCGCAAACATCTCGAGAAGCTCAGCACCAACTATGACAAAGATTTGAAAGGGCTCCAAATTGCTTTGACAAAATTGTTGTAGAAGAGCCTATGGAGTATATTAGGTTGCTGTATAAGTTCTGTCCGATTTTCTCTGTCTTATGTTTGAAGCAGCTGTTCTAAGAGAATTTCATTTCTAATGTGGTATTGGTTTCTTAGGCATATCAAATTCCAATAAATTTCTTAGCGTAAGGAGATTTCAGGCCAAAAATCTCCACGTGACAGAGGTACTTCTCACCCTAAAAATATGTTCTTGCGAGGAAATCTCCACAATGCTCCCTTTAGGTCAAGTTTTTCAATTGGTTGCGGAATAAGGGTGGAATAGGCTAGTATAAGCATAAGTTCAGTTTCATGAAGAAAACGTCTTGCTAGTAAAATTTATTGTCAAACAATAATTTTCTGTATAGATGTTTTTCAAGCTATGACTTTCTGCGAATAGAAGTAATCGACGACTTCAAAGTTGGAGGTGCTAGTGTAAAGCAAGGGCTAGCAGAGATCATACACCAATTTCTTTTCGGCGCTCACGTCAATTGTAAAATTTTCATAGTTCGTAAATAGGCAGGCACACATGCACTGAGACGAGGTCAAAGAGTGGCTTCTTTTTTGATCGGTCAAAAAAATTTTCGGCAACGCAGACCCTATGGGCTCCTTTAAGTCGCAAAATAATCTACGAAAATTTCTCTATCCATCCATTGTTAGACTAGATGCCTTTCAATTCTCACAAGGGAGCATTGCCATGACAAAAAGACAGGTTTGAAGGAAAACGTTGTGAAGCTTTTGAGTTCTTGCTTCTTCTTTAACAATGATTTTTGCAGGTTTCAATATGTTTCTGTTAGCCAAGGAATTGTTCAACACACAGAAACTAAGATCTTGGGAAAAAGTTGACTTTGAAGAGAGTTATGACGTTTTACACTCAAAAATTCAAATCGGACAGAACTTATGCAGCAACCTAATACTTGGATAAATTCGAAATTTTTCATCGATTGAATGAATACCGAATAAATTCGAAAATGAAAAAATCTCGAATAAACGAATGTTATATATAAAGCTGAATGTCTGTTTGTATGTATGTATGTATGTCTGTATGTACGTATGTTCCGAATAGAAAATTCCATTTCTGAACCGATCCGGACCAAATGTCGCACACATACACTTCGGGCCCCGGCGGGTGTCATAAGCTACTTCTCGTATCGAATAAATTCGAGATCTAAATTTTCGAATAAATGAATCCCGGATAATTGTCAGAAGTATCAAATGAATATGAATTATGAATATGAATGAATATGAATATGAATACTGAATATCAATTATATTCGAACACCGAGAATCGAATTTTGAATAAATATTCGAATGATTTATCGAATAAATAGAGCAATTACTGAGACAGTCGGTGCAGTAGCTCCGGAGGAGAGTCGAAATTGGTAGAGTCGCGGAGGACCCAATTGACCAATGAGAGCGGGGCGAGGGGGCGGTCCCTTCTTGTAGGTTACGGTAACGTCACAAGTAGGTGAATGGACCCTTCTCCGGGACCCGCAAATCTCTGCTCCGGAGGTACGCCAGATTTGGGAGAGCCCCCGAGCAGTAATTGCGCTCCGGAGATACGCCAGATTTGGGACACCTCCGTAGCACAAAATGGGAGGGCTTCGGAGCGCAAATGGGAGGTCTCCGGAGCACAAAATGGGAGGGCTCCGGAGCACAAAATGGGAGGGCTCCGGAGCACAAAATGGGAGGACTCCGGAGCATAAATGGGAGGTCTCCGGAGCACAAATGGGAGGGCTCCGGAGCACGAGTGGCAATCCAGCTGGGGAAACCCCGCGGCTCGGCCATTTCTGCTCCGGAGGTATGCCGTCGACTGTCTGAGTAGGTTTAAAACTTGCTGACATTCGGCTAAAGCCGATCAATTCATAATCAGCACCCTCATACTCATATTCATGCTGATCCGTTCACAATCGGAACCCTCATATCTTTCAAAAGTCGAATTGGTATAGACTAATTTTTAATCAGCACCCTTATTTATCCCTGTGCCAACTTCCAGTCTCTTAGCTTAGGATTTTCCAACAATCGATAACAACAAAGTAAACGTTAGATTGTCCCATAGTTATTAGGTTGTCCCATAAGTCTCTTCATTTTTGAGTTTTCGCTATAGTAAGTCACACACTTGTTAATCTAAATAGACATCAGGACACCATTCGATAAAGCAAAGCTCTAATAAGATGACGTTTATGCTTTTGTAGAAGATTTGGTCCATCTCGAGTTGCAAACCAAAGTCTAGAAAGTTTCGGATGGCCAGAAAACCGAAAATTTTTTATATCTTCGTTCAAAAAAAATCCTACAAATCTCTAACTCGCTCACGCATATACATTCCACATCAGACATTCAGATGTGCTGTTGCTGCATTTTTTATCAGCTAGAAATCAAGAAACCGTAAATTTCCATGTTCTTACCAAAGTGATGCTGTGCTGTTCTTACACTAACCGTTGTATACTCAAGCCCTTAGAAGTACAGTTGTAAATTTTTAGCTTTCTATAAGCTCTGCTTTCCGAGAAATGTTGCTTTAAGCGTGAAAAACTCAAGTGAAGAAAGCTAAATCTGATATTTCTCGTAAACCAGAGCATATAGAGAGCCAAAAATCTACGGTAGTACTTCTAAGGGCTTCTAGTATACAAATGTTAGTGTGAGAACAGCACAGCATCACTTTGGTAAAAACATGGAAATTTTCGGTTTCTTGATTTCTAGCTGATAAAAAAAATACAGCAACAGCACATATGAATGTCTGATGTGGAACGTATATGCGTAAGCGAGTTAGAGATTTGTAGGATTTCTTTGAACAAGGATATAAAAATTTTCGGTTTTCTGGCCATCCGAAACTTTTTAGATTTTGGTTTGAAACTCAAGATGGACCAAAGCTTCTACAAAAGCATAAATGCCATCTTATAGAGCTTGCTTTGCTCTCTCGAATGGTATCCTGATGTCTATTTGAATAACTGTGTGACTTATTATAGCGGAAACTCAAATTGAAAAGACTTATGGGACAACCTAATATTCACCGTTTTTACTTCGACGGCGTCTTTTTGTATCTGTCCTTCATCTAATGCGGCTTGAGTACCGTTCCATAGGGCAAACAAGCTCTACAAGATGGCTATCAAGAGCCTGCGTAAATCATAATCCATGTAAAGTTTTGGGCTGAAATATGGTAGTAGTCAAAAACGAACTTTTCTTTCAAAAAATCGTATCTCTACCCAATAGTATCTAAAAAATTTCAAATTTATTCTGGCATATGTTTGACACATCGCACATTCGATTGCATACTTTTCGAATTTTTCCATGGCTAGAATAAAGAAAAAATGAGTGAGGTAAAACGGCAAACTCCGCCTCTAGAAGTCCTGAGCTCCTCCCACACAGTGATCATATAGCTCATACATATAGAAGTGCGATCATGTGTTTGAAAATTCTGAAGGTGCCTCTTTTCTCAAGAAATGCTGATGTTTAAGATAAAAACGGTAAATAATTATGGGACACCCTAATATTTGCTCAAGATCAACCCCCTCATTTACCCCTGCACCGACTCTCAGCCTCGTAACTCAAAATTCTCCAAAAATTGGTAAAATCGACAAAATAAATATTGTTCATAATCAGCACCCTCCCTCACCCCCTATACCAACTCCCAAACCGTAGCTAGCATCTTGTAACTGGGAAATCGCGTACGACTGGCGTGAAGTATGTGCGGGGCCTGTCATAATCAAAGCTGTCTCAATCTGGACCTTTTGCTTCCGGCTTTAGCCTTTACCATAGTTGATAGGCTGATAGGCCCGTTGTTAAAGTGTCTGCAAGCTTTCGTGAAAATCTTGGATGCACTATGATAAGAGATTTGTGCAGCATGAGTTTTACAAGCAAGGGTGCTCACTAGCGTGGACCTTTGCGTACTTAGAGCATGAGCAATGCAAAGAAAGAGAAGCAGGCATTTCAACACATTTTATAAGAACTCGGAATATGAGCTTGAATTTAATAGCTGCTTTTTGCTGATTTGACGCCAATAGCAGTGCGAACTATATCATTGATCGAAAAGCGTCAATTCAAATCCACATTTATTTTTTTACTGTCGCAAGCAGTCGGATAAATGCGACTATCCATACAGTTTAAAGGTCATGACGATTGCCAAAAGATGCATTACCGGATTTTGCGGTAAAAAACGCAGACGAATCGAGCTTGATACTCAGCAGTTGGCTCTGCAACAAAAGAATAGTCTGAGTACGGAGTTCTTCCGAATATGAATTCGAACAACATTTGAAGAAAACATTCGAGTAAAATCTATTCGGCTGTTTTTGATTATTCGAGTTTCGAATTTTATTCGAAAATGGAAAAATTCCGAATATCGAATTTCGAATGCGAATATATTCAAATGGTTTATTCGAATGATCGAATTTCCATTCGATTCGGACCCAAGCACAGGGCTCGGCACAGTTGGGGTCAGGCTGGATATCGTTTTTAGGGCGGAAAGCAAGGGATATCGTTTTTTCGGTTCCGGGGCGGAGAAGAGCCGGAAGAATGCCGCCGGCATTCACCGTCTTGCTGTCCATCAAACAAACAAAGGCGTTGTTTTCAGCCAAACACAATAATATGACACCAAATTCAGTGTGTACATGCACGTTGGGGGACCCGAACTATGGCCCAAAAATTTATGAAACTTATATGAATGAAAGCTGTGCTAAACTTTTCTTTGAATTAGCTGGGTGCCAGCTGAGTTGGCACCGACACTTTGCTCACATAAGTTTTCATACTTTTTTACATAAAATGTATCTACACTGCAAAAGTTTACATACAGAGAAGACAATTTCATACTGTTTTCTTTTCAGCATTCTATAGCCATCTATAATTACTCGGGCTGCTCCGCATCAAATATCGGCTTTTTCTGCTTCTCAAGATTTGATTCAATCACTTAAAAAGCTCAGAAAGCTGTGAATAGTTGTTCCATAAAATCAGCTTGCATGAAACCCTGCTACATACTTTTACATAATTCAAAAATGATCGGATCTTCAAAACAGGTCAAAGGGGACTTCGTACGAAATTTTCATGATAAAAAGGGACTTCGTTTTGCAATTTCCTTTGTTCCAGCTCGTGCCGAGCCCTGCCCAAGTATACTATGGAGGAACCTATGTAGCATTTGTAATCGTTGAAATTATGTAATGGATAAATTCGACAATAATGAAACAAGATATCGAGGTTTCTGCGTAGTCGTATATAACCTTCGAAACTATTTCTATTTAGAAATATAATTTATATGGGACTCGTTAAGATACTCGGCAGGAAATTTATAAAAAGGAAGCAATAGACCGGAGCAGGACTGAGTGATACCTAGAAAGTAATCCGCTGGAAAACAACAAAATGAAGAAAATTAGTAGATATATGGATAACATTCTGGCGCAAGTTTAAATTGCTGAACTTGCTATAAATGCTACTCTGCTGGTAAGTTGCGAGCATGCGTTGCATTGTGCAGACCACCATGAATGAGGCAGCCTACACGTCTTTCCCAATCCCAATCAGGCCAAAATTGGTATGGTGGGAGCCTGCGTCGTTAGGAGTTTGCGTGTCACCTACGCTCTGCTTGTCTGCTCTCTCTTTAATCTCTCTGCTCTATCTACAGTACGCATATGCAAACTTCAAAAGCTGCTAGCGCGCAAAAGTAGTTTGATTCCCATGTGACAGATTGTATTTACAGTTACAGTGTGTCTTCCCTTGTGAGAACTTTCTATGTGCAATAATCGATCAGGGCAATTTGACTATCCAAGTATGCGCGAACGTGGAGCGAAGCTCTGCCTGGCGATTGCGCCTTGGAAAAGGTGATTGACATAGATTGTAGCTCATCAAAATTGGATTCATAAAATTTCGCTAACTGCGAAAACATATTGGGCATTACTTTATAGCCGGAATAAGTAAGAGGAGGCACATGTTTTTTTAAGTCGCCTCCGTACTTGCACACTCACCTCTTAGACATTGGGAGCGGCCGAGCCGCGGACCTTTTCCGGCTGGAATTTCGCAGCGTCCACGGACCGGCCGGAGGTGGGCCGCGGCTCGGCCGGAAAAAAGACTCGGCTCGTCCGCTTTTGGGCCGCGGCTCAGCCGGAGCTGGTTGTCGGGCCGTCTAGTTCATTCTAACTTGGATACAGTGGAACTGGTTTTTTATTTACTGGCATGTAGAATATACACAGTAAAAAAACAAAAGTTGAGGCTACCGATATAGCGGCTTCAAAAACCAAGTCCGATTTCGACATTGGACAACACAAGATGCTATCCAAGGTTGTACAACAAGTTGATCTTGTTCCCGACTTGGAGACTGGAAAGACATCGAAGGCTATGGACGCTGAGGGTAGTCTGACCATGCGTCGTACATTAGGCAAGTATACTTTATGCTCAGAAACTGGGAGCGGCTCGGCCGGGGTTTCATTATAGAGATTTTGGTCCGCGGCTCAGCCGCTGCAATGCTCCACCCCCATCATAAAGGCCGCGGCTGAGCCGGTAAGCCATATTCAGTCCGCGGCTGAGCCGGTCTGAGAATGCCCAAAAACGAAACTCATCAGAAAACAAGACAAAATTCCCAATTTATGCAACTCCAGAATTGATCGCACTTGCCACTATTTATGGCAGATGGCTGTGGGAACTATGCAGCGGCTTTCTGCAACAAATGAGTAGGTCTGACTAAAAATAAAGCGAAGAGAAAATGGACGAGCACAAGAACACACATTTTGCTTCAAACGCAGAGCAAAAAAACGCTCATTCTTCAACCCCGCTTCGAGTACGCAGTTATGCCGATCAAAAAGGGAAGCGGGGTAGAGGATTAAGGCCAAAATGAGAGCATTGGAAGAAAAACCGTTGAGAACTGTCAAAATTCCTCAACTCCCGCCGTCCGGGGCGGCTGCAGCGCATGTAGCACAGTTTTGAAAGAGTTCCAGCACAGTGCGGGAACAGTTCCGGAACACGGGAATTAGTATGCAGCGATACCTCCAGCGATTCCGTCGTTATGATTTTCGATCCTGCGATTAGACGATCTGGACGATCGTTCAATGCGTGAAAATAGCTTATCGTTCGACTACCGGACACACCGAACTAAAAAACTTTAGAAATTGTTTAAATTTTGTACAGGAATAGACAAGTCACTTCCACATTTTTCAAACCCATGTAAGTAAACTTCACTTTCGCAATTCATTCCCCCCCCCCCTCCCCCCTCTTCCCGCCCTCCTCGGTCCGCTGTTGGATTATACATAGATGCCTGAGCTACCGAGATTGCACATCTATGCTGCTTCAGAAATTATAGCAAGAACATTCGAGATTCGGTCAACTTATACCTGTTATTAATAAACAAGAACAGGAGGAAATTAGTGCAATGCGAGAACACAATGCTAACACAGAGGGTGAGATGACATATGTGAAGCATTCGATACCATATACTTCGCATGTTCTCTTTTCAAGGATCATTAGTATGGGATGTTCAATGATTATGCTTCTCTCCTGCAAAGAGGAAGTTGAGTGAGATGGATTAGTTGAAAATGGAATTCGCGTTTGCAAAAAATACAAAATTTCTTACAAAGAAGAAACCATTCAAGTGATTCGTCCAGCGCTGGTGCAGAACTAGCGACGGCGACATCGCTGAGCGATGTTCCTGCTGAGATTATGCCCGCCCAAAAATGCTCGCAGCATCAGTATAGCACAGAGTATACAGATGGGCGCGCGTCGCTGCGACTCGAAACATGTGTCCGAGTTGGGAATCGCAACGCGACTGGAATCGCGGGAGGTATGCCTTGGGTCTGATGGCGGTGTGTGCCCCGGCAAGGAGTCGATTTCGAGGTTTTTGCTTACCTAGGTCAATTCTACGCTAAATCCGAAAATCCCCATTAGAGAGCGTGAAAACGGCGAAAAAGGGCCTAATGCACCAGAGAAATTAGCAGTTTGGTGGGGTCTTCCATTCTCTAAAGTCACCCTCCCAGCTTCCCGAGCGGAATTGTCGGTTCCGATAATGAGTCACGCGTTCACATCTGGCTAGTGGCGATGTTAAGGCGGCTAAGGAATTGAGAAGATCGCTGCGTAAGCTGGGAGCGTGATTCTAAAGTGAAGAAGACCCTACCCCCTGCTGATTTCTCTCCTGCGTTAGAGTTCTTTTTCGCCATTTTCCCGCTCTTCAATGTGGATTTTCGGATTTGTCATACGCAAGATTTTGTTCACTGTTGCAAAAACGAAAACGTTGAAAATCGGGACTTCTGCGGGATTTTCATGCCAAACGTTTAAAACCGGAACTTCCGCAGACTTCTCTCAAAATCCTGCGGAAATTCCGAAAAATGCCAGAGGTTTCGCAGCACTTTGGCCTGCCAGAACTTCCGCAGGACTTTGAATGTGTTGTTTCGTGATGTTGCCTCGCCAACAACTAGAGTGCATTATAGAACACGTCAGCCGTAGCGTAGAGGATAGCAGGTGGGTCTCACAGTCAATAGAGTGAGGTTCAAATCTCGCTTCGGTGTTCTCTTTTGCTGTTGTGGTTGGCATTCTTCGGAACTTCCGCAGGACCTCATTTCGGAACCTCGCACGTTTACGGAACTTCCGCAGGTGACCCGGCGTTCTGCGGAAGTTCCGGTCATTTGTCTGAGTATGAACAACATGAAATTGCCACTCGTCCCGTTCGCTTAAAGGCACCGTCCACCCAAAACCTCGAATTCAATGTTTTTGTTGCCTTCAGGCCTTCTGAAAGCCCTGACTGCGAACATGGAGTCAAATCCGCGAAACCCCCAAAAATCCCTGTTTCGAGAACCCTCTGCAACAAGCGCAGGCGAGATAAAGCATGCAAGTGGGCGGAGCGACCATGCCGGAGCGGATTTCTCGCTCCAAAAGCAGTCTGTTGCGGCGACGCTTGGGGGTTTGCCAGTGTGGGGGCCCACACTAGTATGCCATCATAATCTCACCAACCTCCATTTTGGGTGGACGGTGCCTTCAAGATGTCTTAATTGCTCGCGATCTAATAGGAATCGTACATGAATTGCCAGTGCCACGTTCGTACGAATCGTTTAGTACAGATTCCAAAGAAAGCTAGATACATGAGAGTTGGTGGTAGGTAGCTGTAAAAATGTTGTCTTCTAAGCGAAAATTTTATTGCGTTGGAGCAGAAAAATAATACTCAAGCATCTGTCCATAACTGTAGATTTTATTTCTAGGTCTACTTACCATGGAAAATGTTAAATTTCCAAAAGCATTTGAGATAGCCCAACTATGCTACAAAAGCTGCTTGCAAGGTAATCAGCAGTGGGAGAAAATTGGCGGAACATTTCAATTTGTGCTAAGAAAAATTCGCGTGAGTTGAATTAGTCGATCATAATGTGACACTGTTAGGCTTACGCTATTTAGTTTTTGTGCAGGGAGTAATGTGCTTGTTGCGAAATTTGTGTCTAATCTGTTTTTTGTGAAATTTAAAGTTATCGTAAGAGTTATCGTCTTCTGCAGGATTGCCGCTACACCTCTTCTGCATATCTGACTTGCGCTACGCATAGCTAATGTGCTCAGACAATCAAAGGCTCTCAGCCGGCAGCCACAAAGTCACGCCAAAACCCACCAAAAGCGCCGTGCCCCTATCGTCACCACTTTCGCTTCCCGCTAAAAACCTTATAGCAGTTCGTCCGTTGCCAGCTTTAGCTTTCCGCTCAGTGCCACATTTGTAGCTCGCTAGCTTCTACGGTTCTCAGCGTAAGGCGACAGTGTGGCGATAAGGCTGACAGAAGTAGGTTTATGAGGAATTTGATTGTTCAAATCAAGATTCGTACATATATATAAGTTTACTGAGGTTTTATTACATCGTCATACACTGCGAGGACAGACAGTCATAGCTAATCGTATGAAGTCAATCTGTTGCCTTATATTGCGTTTTCATTGCTTTCTCAAAGTCCTTTGTAAGTGATTTTCTCACATCGTGTATAGCGCTTTCCTCACATCATACATCATCGTACAATCAATTAAAGTCATGAATCATGTACTATCGTTATCATTTCGTTTCTACGGTTCTCAGCGGAAAGCGACAGCGAGGCAATAAGGCTATCAGAAGTAGGGACAGTGCGCGCAATCGGCACTCATCGGAGGGTTCGGCGAGTGCGCCAAGTTTTGCAGCGATCAAGGCATGGTCGTCAGCAGCATGTCCTAGTTGGACACGTCGCGACCTCGATTTCTTTATATTACGACGTATTTCAGGGGTTTCCCCGGTATTTTCTGCCAGCGAAATCAGTTTGTCCTCCCCTCTTTTTCTTGCAGGTAAAAGTAGGATTTTTCAAGAGTAGAAAATGTCGAGAGTTATTTTCAGTGAAGTTTTTCGGGGGGCGCTCGTTACGTGCGGGCATCCAAATGGAAAACGTCGCAATGCGGCGTTACAGTAAACGCGCGCGGGGAAGCAGCAGAGTAGAAAACTTTTCAGATTTATATCACTAGATTACCAGTGTTTCTTCTATATTGTTAGTGTTTTACCTCCTTCAAATTGTGTCTTTTTTGTCCTTTAACAGCTCATTTTACAAATTTGTGGCAGAATTTCAGATAATTAAGTAAAACTAATATAAGAATAGTCTGTGAACCTCAACAAAGGATGAGAAATTGAAAAAATATGTGCTGCGGATCATGCTGGCTGAATTCTCCGAGTGCGGTCACTGGCGGCCTGTCGCGTGCGACGTTTTCCATTTGGCAGCCCGCACGTAACGATACGCCCCCAAGTTTTTCTAATATCTGTGAGGATCTTTAAAAAAGTGTTTTGTCGCAAGAGTCCCCGTTCTTTTTTTCTAGCGAGACCAAGTTCGCCCTGCTGTTTTCCTTTTTGGATTTTTGGAGGCAAAATTAGGATGTTTTCAAAATAGAAAATCTCAAGATTACCTTTCGGCAAAGTTTTTTGAGCCTAAGAATTGCTTTGAGAAAGAAAGTGTCTTGTTACCCAAATTCCCTGGTCTTTTCCTGCCAGTGAGATCAAATTTGACCCGCTCTTTTCTCTTTCAGAGTCAAAAGTGGGATATTCTTAGAGCAGAGAGCGTCAAGAGTGTCTTTTAGCAAATTTTTTCAAGCCTGATTGCTGAAAAAAGTGCACTGCCGCCTGTCCTATGAAGTCCCTGGTACTTTCTGCCAGCAACAAGTTCGCCCTGCTCTTTCAGAAGCAAAAGAAGGGGATTTCCGTAGTTGGCAACCTCATAAGTATCTTTCGGCAAAGTTTGTTTAACCTAAGAAATGCTCAAAAAAGTGTCCTTCGCATATATTTCGTAGTCTTTTCGGCCAATGAGAGACCAAGTTTGCCCTGCTCTTTTCTCTTTTAGAATCAAAAGTGGAATATTTTTAAAGTTTTTTAAAGCTAAGAGTCGTTGAAAAAAGTGTTTTTGCGCATAGTCCTTTGTACTTTCTGCCAGCAAGACCAAGTTCTTCCCAATCTTATTTCTTTTAGAGGCAGAATTAGGATATTCTCGGATTTTCACAATACCTCATGATAAATATTATTTATCATTAGGTATTGTAAAAAAATCTCTTAAAAAAGATATTTGCGAAATTGTTTTGCCCCGAGAGAGTTCATGTCTTATATTCAAGCAGTAATCCTCTTCTGGCCCAAAGTAAATTTTCTTGACAGTAAGTTGAAAATTTTGAAGAAAGTGAAGGTGTTTTTTGAAAAAAATTCCCTTGCTTGAAGCCTCTTTTCTCCCACGGCAGCAAAATCCGATAGCTCATTGTTTTTGAAGCAGATAAGTTTTCTCGAAGTGCATGCTTCCAAAGTAATTATTCGATATAAATTTTGAATTTTCAAGTTTTTCTACAATACGAAGGTATTCCATGAGAAAATAACTTTCTGCCAAAAGCCTCTGTTCTTCCCCTCCCCCTCCCCCCCCAAGGCCAAGTCTCGCTTACTGCTTTACTTTTTGTCAGTGGAGTTTTTTCAGAGAAGCTCTCAGAAGAAATTTCTTGTCAGGTCAAATAAAAATGAAATGGAAATATTCTCTGCGGGAGAATCTTTTTGCTAGAAGCCAATGAACTTCTTTACCTAGAAAAGACGAGGCATGCTCATTGCTTTTGTTTAAAGCCACAAATAGGGTTTTTAGCACATGCTCACAAAATTTACATCGCCAGATTAAGGAAATTTTCTATGAAACGGAAATAATCTTCGCAAAAATGTCTTTCTAGTAATACCCGCTAAACTTTTTAATAAAACAATTGCATCTCTATGAGAATATTTCTTTGCTAAAACCCCTAATTTTCCTCCTCCGAAACCAAAGCTCACGGCTTTTCTGTTTAGGGGATAAGTAGGGAATTTGAGCACATGCTCCCGAAGGTGTTTCGCCAAGTAAAACGAGAGTAACTTATGAAACAGGGGCATCTTTGCAAAATTTCTTTTTGCAAAAATTCGAATTCCCGAGGGGTCCAAAGCTTGCTCCTGCTCTTCTTTGGAACAGAAGTAAAGTTTTGAACAAATCCTAGGGTTAAATTTTTCCGAACTTTATAGAAATTTTTATGGAACAGGGGTAATTTTTGCGAAAAATACCTTTTTGCTGGAAGCCCCCGAGCTTCTTCGTCATTAGGGCCAGATGTACAATCTTTGAACCATTCTCTCAAGATAAAATCTGTTGCCAGATTAAGTGCTATGTACATTATTGCTGATTGTATTCCTGCTAAAAGCCGCTGAGGTTTTCTTTTCATTAGAAACAGAGGTAATCTTTGCGAAAGCATCTTTAAACCCCCCCCCCCCGAATATTTTTCCAAAGGGGCCAAGGCTCGCTCACTGCTCTTTTTTGTAGGGACAGAAGTGGCGTTCTTCTAGAGTACGGTTCCCAAGCTGGTTTGGCAGATTGAGTGGAAACTTTCATGAAACAAAGATAATCTTTGCGAAAGCTTTTCTTGCTAAATGCCCCTGAGATTTCGTCCCGCGAGGCCAATGCTCGCTCGTTGGTTGTTGAGGTCCTAAGCAGACTTTATGAAAAAAAGGTATTCCATGATTATAACTTTCGCTAAGAGCAACTGAGTTTTTTCGTACCGCCAGGTCAAAGTTTGCTCAGTGCTTTTCTGTTTAGGAAAAAAGATATCGTTTTGCACACATTCTCCTTAGATTGCTTTGCCAAATCAAGTGGAAATCTATGGAATGAATGCAAATATCTCTCTGTTGAAAGTCTGAATTTTTTTTCGAAGAAAGCAAAGTTATCCCTTGCGGAAAGTCTTTTTGCAAAAAAAAACCCCGAATATTTTCTCGAAGGGACGAGCCAAAGCTAGATAGTGGGAGCCGGTTCTCCACCTATTTCACTTTCGAGCTGGTACAGAGTTGACCACCTTCACTTTTGCGTTTTCGAAATTTTTTTTGCTGGACGAAAAAAGGAAAATAATCAAAGCGAACGCTATCATAAATGTTTTAAATGAACGTGCAATCAAATGTGTATTTGTAAGTGAAAGTCAGCTAGACTTTACGTATTTTAATAAGTAAATTTCGTTATAACGTTCTGCGAAGAAAGTAGGTCGATCCAGGAAGTGACCGCTGAGAACTAGAATTTCAAACGATAAACTTACTTAGATACTTAGATGGGCCTTCTTCACATGGCGTGCGGGCCCCAGCACAAAAGTTTCCATCTGTCCCTGTCCCTCGCTTCAGACATTCACGATCTTCTTGGTTGCCGTCGATGGCTGCTTCCACGAGTTCCAGGTGCGATAATCGTATCCAGCTGATTTCTCAGCTGGTCCATAATTCCACAAACACGTCTGCATATCTCGTTGGAGGTCTTCCTCGGGGACGTTTGGCTTCGAATCCACTCAGACGTTCTTAGTGTCCATTTGTCGTCTGTTCTTTTCATGATGTGACCGACCCATCGGTGTTTCGCTTTCGCAATGTATTCCTCTGGGTCACAAAGACGGGACATTCTTCTCATATACGTACCGCAAAGTCCGACTAGGTGTTGCTTCTGTCGGGTTATCTTCAGAAAACTGCGCTTTCGGATGATAAAATAACGAAAAATTCTGCTTTCCATTGTTATAGATCTGGTGGATGAAGATATCAGCAACTCGATTTCAAGCTTTGAAATGTAAGTGTTGTTCTATCAGACTGCAAAAGAATCAGATAGATTTGGGGAGTGGCCTCTTAGAATAAGAGTTTTCAAAAAATTACGCCATTCTAGGTTGCTTAATAGCAGCTGACATTTGAACTCCTACAAATCTGAAATGTGAAGATGTGTGATGTTGCTACTTTATAAGTTTTGTAGAGTAAAATTTGCCCTACCAGAATATGTCTTATAGGGGAGGAATACCAACATTAGTCGGCGATTGAAGATGTGATGTGTATCGTTAAACGCGTCTTTGGACGCTGAT